TAAACCAAACATGGGCTTAATTTCAAAGTTCATCACTCTATCTATCAATCACCTGTAGATTGAAGTCTTTCAAAATTTAAAAACAACTACTCAAGGTATGTTTGGCACTGATCTTTCTTCTCTAAAATCAATTTTCAACATTAATAGGACTTACAAATTTTTCTTGTGTTTTTCGATTATACATTCTTCAAAAAATTATCTTTCACTCAAAAAATTTATGTCAAACAACTTTTTAGTTGATAATTGTACAATATCTATCACCTATCATCTCCAATTAGGCAATAACTTAGTTAACAATAATGTCATAATTAATTAAATTTCTATAACGAGATGAAGTGATAGGTTGGCATGCCATATAACTATTGAAATTGAAGTTTAATTATTCAATTAAAATTAAATTGAAGTTTAGTTACCCAATTGATTTTTTTCTGAAACTTCAGTGACCGCAGAAGAAATGAACTCAATAAAAGAGAATTAAAAGATTAACCGCCAGAGCCACCGCTGCAACCACCGCAATGCCTTTCTCTCTGCTCACTTCTCCTCCCACTCCGGCTCCTCGCAATCTCCCCACCTTTTCCTTAGCTTCATCATCACACTTAACCACCACTAGATTCCTCGCGAGCAAAAGATTTAGAACAACGATCAGTATTGTTGCCAGGGCTTCCGAAGAAGGAGATGATAAGCCGGCGTTCAATCCGTTCGGATTTGTAACTGATAATCCATCAATCCGAAGTGCCATTCAGCTTCCTGAATCCCCTGCTGAGGATGGAAATGTTGGCCAAATGTTGCTGCAATTTTTATTATGCATAGAACTTTCGTCAAATTTGATGAGTATGATTTTTCGGCCATGAATAGTAAATTGGTTGTAGTATTTGATAATTACTGCATTTGTTTTGTGTTTCATAGTAGTTTTGTCAAATTTGATGAATGCGATCTTTCTACCATACTTTTTAAAATTCATGACTCATACAATAAAATGTTTATGTATTCTCTTGATTAGGTAATGTTTATAGAATTTCAGTGGTGTCGTACCATCTATATTGCTAGAGACATTCTTCAAAATTGCAAACTTGAAATTGCTTCAACAATATGAACTAATTTGTTGTTATTGTTGAAACTTAATTTAATTTAATTAAGTTTTTACTAGATCAAGTTGTGTAAAACTGAATTCCAGAAGAACATATAGACAAGAGTGGATTCATTCTAATATCATTTGTTAATGAGTCTGTCGTTATCTTGCTTCTTATTCATCAATTCCACACCCCCACCTAACCCCCAGTGTTCGATATTCTTTGAAGATTAAGTTTTCTACCATTTCAAAGTTAACATTTTTCTTTGTGCTGCTGTTACATGGAAAAGTATATGGCTCTTACATTAAAGCTGGAGGGTTTAGGTGGTTTGTAAGAGAAACAGGTAAACTCTTGCATATTTTTTGTGTTTTAACTCTTTTTTTTTTCTGAAAAAATGTATAGAATTAATCTTTCTTTTGCAGGATCTATTGAGAGTGGACGTGGAACGATTGTCTTTCTCCATGGTGCTCCAATGCAATCCTACAGCTATCGCGTTGTTATGTCTCAGGTCTCATCCTTCATTTTAGCTATGAACTTTGGATAGAACCAATGTGGTCTTTTTATCCTTTTCATAATTCAGTTTTCTTCTCTTCTTTTTCTCTTCTGATCTTTCTAAAGTTCTTCAATTTTGTACTATCTAAATATGTAAATTGAATGATCAGTTGCCTTAACAGAACTAAAAATAAATATGCTAATTATGTTATAATCTATAGAAAAACTAGTGAGGATGGGGAAAAACAGTCTAGGTGATTTACAGAAGGGAAAGATATTTATACATTCTTATCAGATCCTAAGTAGTACTACAGCTGGTTCAAGATCAACCAACTGTAATATTCCTTAGTGAATTTTTTAATCACCGTTTCTTATTCTTTCTTTTATTTCTCATAGATGGCAGATGCTGGGTTCCACTGTTTTGCTCCTAATTGGATAGGATTGGGGTTTAGTGACAAGCCACAGGCTGGATATGGATTTGACTACACCAGTTGGTCACTTTTCTGTGATGTATTCCAAATACATATTCACATTAAAAAGTTTTGAGTGGGTTTATCAAACAGACTGACTTTTAAAAATTTCATTTGACAGAGAAAGAGTTTCATGAAGCTCTTGGTCTAGGTGTTGCTTCTCCTTTCTTCCTAGTAGTTCAGGTTTGAACTAAATTGATCAAGATGAAGATTTCGCAGTAGTTTGTGATGAATATGTGAGCAGTCCATATCTTAATCAGAATATAAATTTAATACCTAAAGATCTTATCTTGCTTTCTCAAATTGCAAATATATTTTTACTTTGTGAAACTCTATTCATAAACACATTCCACTTACAAATTCTATACTAGAATTTCATTTTTCCATTTTTCTTTTTGCAGGGATTTCTTGTAGGGTCATATGGATTAACTTGGGCTTTGAATAACCCGAGCAGAATTTCAAAGCTTGGAATTATGAACACCCAATTGACAGTCTCATCTCCCCTTCCTGGACTATTTAATAATCTCAGGTTTATTTCATTTCACACAAATTAAGAAATTGCTTGCAGTTACTGCTTAAGTGATCACTGTCTGTGCTATTAACAAACTACTTCCTGATACAATGAATTTCAAGTGGTTAAGCGTTCTTATTTTATATTCTCAAACTAAATTGTAACATTTTCAATAATTAGGAAAAAGTTTAGTAGTTAATTTCTTTGCAAGGCACCCCACAACAACATTGCAAAGAGAGAATGCTCTTTAGGATGGACATAGTTAAATTAGATATTAAGGGGTATTAAAACTGCATATTCGTAAAAGGATAAGTATACATGTCTGCAGACAGGCCTTCCATTTTCTTCTTCATTTAGTAATGTTAGCGAGTCAATAATCAGTTTATTTAATATCAAGAACAAGACCAACCTTCAAGTGGAGAATATCCCTTGGGGAAAGTACAACCGAAAACATGAAGCAACATAGAATTGTAATTTACTAACATTTTCTTTTTAACTTCCCTCTGTTTATATCCAGGATTCCACTTCTTGGTGAATTCACTTGCCAGAATGCAGTTATGGCAGAGCGTTTTATCGAAGCAGGTAGCCCGTATGAATCAAGAAATGCACTATATGCTTAAAATCCCACTATTTTCAATTATTAAAGTTACCTGGATTTTCTTTTTCCCTATTTCTTTGTGCATTGAAAGTTCAGCCAGGACAAGGGAGCAGCATATTTTTTTCTAAATTTCTTGCCAAACATTGGCTTACAATCATTTTTCAAAATAAATTTCACTATCACTAGCTTTAAATCAAATATTTCCATGCATCTGAAGCTAATTTACTCATTTTAGCCTTAACATGATGAAGCATTGATAGTTACACTCTTCTTAAACATATGCAGAGAAGTCCAAGGAAAACCAGTGTTCATTATAAGTAGTTAGTCATTTTAAATTGGAAAATTTCATTGATTTTTAGTTTGTTCTCTGACAAAACTACTTTTTTCATGACAGCTATGTCTTGAAGATGGAAAAGGCGAATGTATATCGATTACCATATTTGTCAGGCAGTGGCCCAAGATTTGGTTTGTCTTCCAATCTAATCTACTTTTTTCATGATAGCTATATCTTGAATCTGGAAAAGGCAGATGTATATCGATTACCATAATTGCCAGGCAGTCGCCTAGGATTTGGTTTGTCTTCCAATTTGATATTGGAATGATGATTCTTTTTTTTTTTTTTTTCCAGATAATATTGTTTAGTGTTTATAAAATTCCAATTTTCATTGCACACATGATCTATGCAGCAAGTCCTAGTTTTAATCATATTATAAACTGTTGGCGGAAAGAGCTTAACATATATTTCTAACTTCATAATTGAAAAAAGGGAGCTTAGAAATGCATATATTCCTAAAAAACCTATAGAAAAGATCACATTTTCCTCAAATTAGCATTAAGCTTGCAACCAAAAAAATAGTAGTCCCAAGTCCCAACCATTTGATATTGTCAACAGAACAAATTTAGGTAGAAATTATTTAGTTGTTTGATATCTAATTTTCTTTTGCTGGATTGTGATAGCAATGTTGCTACTTTATGGGATCATTGCCTATTTGTGATCATGGAGAGGCAAAACAGTGTTAGCTATTCATTCTATGATAATTAGTGATGCTGTCAACAATGCCATATTATAGAAACTGTAATCAAATGTGCATTAGATAAAATATCAGTGGTGCTGTAATTTTTATTAAAATATATTAATGGAAATAGATAGAGATTTCACTGCAACAAATTTGTTTAGTTACAATTTTGAGAATATAATTACAACATTGTAACTCCACAAAGTATGTAGCTATTAAGCTCAAGGATCATACCATGACATTATGGGAGAGCGTCATTGAGCGTATGTTAAGAAGTAAAAGTTAATAAAGAATAAGTTTTGTTTTTGGCCAAGCATATCTACTACGGAAGTCATGCACCTACCTCCGAAATTGATTAACAAGTATATAGAAAAGAAACAAGATTTGCTTATGATTTTTATTGATACTGAAAAGAGCATATAATAGGATGCCTAAAGAGACAAATAGTATCTAAGATATTTTAATACAATATTATTGAAAATGTATTTAGTGAAGAAGTCACGAGAACAAGTTTAGTAGGTATGGTAGTAAAGAATGCTCTATGACTATAGTTTTACATAAAGGTTCTGCTTTCTTGTTTTGAAGTTGAATTATCATTTATAAAAGTTTTTCTTTTTGTTTTTTCGTGGAATTGGTGTTTTTTTTTTTTTCCATATATAAAAGTTAGTTTTTATGCACTTGCAGAATTTTGATTTTCTCAGCTTCTCTTCTTAACCCTGTGCTCATAATGACCTAGTTAATCAACTGAACTTGAACGATCACAGTTCTAGACTGATATAAGCTAAAAGTATCTAAAAATAATACTTAGTCAGTTAGTCTATTGACACAGAAATGATTACATTCAGTTCAAAGAAGTAGGTAAAGCCTTAGGGTTGATTATTGAAGTATTGCTTCTTTCAGGGTTGTATTTTGAATAAATTGTCTATCCCTGTATTTTGGAATCGCAACTAGTCGATTAGCTATCTTCAATGCATCTATATTTTTCTCGTGCAAGATTGCTGAGAGCAAGCATGAGCATGGATTGGTATCCAAAAGTCTTTATATGAATAGAAACCAACTTAGACTTGCGATGGTGGTGAATTTGCCATAGAAAGTGAAATAAAACTAGACCTTGAAAAGAAAGTTAGAATAGTCCTATAGGTACTAGTAATTCTACGAGACAAGTCATAGGCTTGCATTTTTACTCTGCCTTATATTACAAATTAGTAGATAAGCTTGGCTAAGCTTTACAAAGTCCACTTCTAAGTAAATAACTAAGTTTTTAAGATAAATAACTTGTTTTGTTGGTAGAAATTGGAAACAAGCAACTAACTTCTTTTACTTAAAAGTGAGAAAAAGGTAACTTATCAGAAAAAGTTTGAAAAAAATACTTTATTCAAAAAGTACTTCTACTTGCATTTAGGCTTAGCCATATATGCTCTTATAAGGTAGTTAGATCTGTTGTTCATGATCCCAGTGATCTTAAGTACATATACCATTTTACCTTAGTGATTATAACGATTACATTTAGTTGAATGACATCAGTTCATTCAATTTACATTAAATATAACTGTTAATTGTCTTTAAATGCTGCTAACTCCATGATCTTCTGTTCCTGAACGATGGAAACTTGTCCAACTGCTTCAGATGGGATACACCAATATTAGTTGCATAGGGAATATCAGACAAGTATCTTCCACAATCTGTGGCAGAAGAATTTCAAAAAGGGAATCCTGATTTGGTAAAGCTCAAGCTGATTGAAGGCGCCTGTCATATGCCTTAGGAGGACTGGTAATATAGCTACTGAAAACTATTGATGTGTATTTACCGTTATTTTTTCTACTTCCTATTACCATTTTAACTGTACAAACCGGAGAAAGTAATTGACACCTTGAAATATTTATGCACAAAATGGATATATACATTGCTGATGAGCTCAAAGGCTAATCTTTTTGAAGTTAGATTCTGAGCCTTGAGTACAATTGTATATGTAATCATTATAATTCTGACAATGCACGAAGGAGTTGACATTTTTCAAAAGATAAATGAAATTTACTAGTCCAAGGAAATTGGTTTTGGAACATTAAAGTTTGTGAGACTTAAATATTTCTATGTTCGTTATAGCATGTTGAATTTATCTCGTCGACATATATAAATTGTTAAACACACACACATATATGGAAATATTTCCTAAACACCGATACTTAGCTTATGTTAAGTACTGGTGACATGACACATTATTTAACTGATGAAGCATTAAATTCATGGAGTCTATCATTAACTTATTTACTAATTAAATAGTGTGTCATGTCACGTCACTAGTGTTTAATATAAGCTAAGTACCTCTGTGTGTGTGTGTGTGTGTGTATCCTCATTTTTGAATGTGCACAAGTTTTAATATTCTTTAGGTCCGAAGTCTTCAATAGCATGTGAATATGTGCAACTCATCTGTAAAGAGATGAATGAAATATATAATAAGAAGCAACAATAACAAAGTGGTATATAACAAATATAAGTATGAACAAGTAAAATTTATGAATTAGTTTTCGATCCTGACTATGTTTATCAAAATATTTCTTTTTAAATTATTTATATATGAAAATTTGGATGCGATGAAATACATGGAAGAAACGAAGAGTGGGATGTGAAAAAATATATTTGGGATACGAATAGTTTACTCTTGTAAAAATTGTTTGAGGTGAGGCAAAATCATGAAAACTGTTACAAGAAGAGAGTACAAGTTATATTTTCTTCCTAAAGAACTCTTTTGAGGTTTTGCGCTAGTCAAAAATATTAATTTATTTGAAGCACCTTATAAGTCGAGCCAAACATGTTAATACTCGAACAAAAGAAACATGATTTTGAGCCTATTACATGTGCATCATGGCATCGATTGAGCAATTGGGATCAACAGAGTTTTTATTTTATTTTTAGTTAAATTTTTTTAAATTAATAATAATAATAATAAATCAACTCTAGCACAAAAATCTGTAGAAGAGTTGAACCAACGACATAGCCCATGTTGGCCGAAAAATGAAAAAAAAATTGTCTAGAATAATGTTATTTGTACGTCATTGTATAAATAATAGTTACAGATAAATGATATGAAAGACGGAAAGATTATAATAACATTATTTCTTTCTTCCCTCTCTCTCTCATCAACAACAAAAAGATAGCCCAGACGTCCGAGCCATCTGGAAAATGACAGCCTAGATGTCGATCCAAGCAGCCTCCTCTTCACCGCGGCGTGGCTCATGGCGAAGATCGCCATTTCCAACGATATTCGCCCCTAATTTTCACTTTCTAAACCATTGTATCTGCAACATACATAATTTCTACAACATACAACAAGAACTACACCATATAAAACATAATACATTGTTGTTGAGGGTTCAAAACTCACTTTCTTCAAAGAAATGGCAATCTTTGATCTTCGACATTGGTTGATCTTCGACATTGGTTTCTTAGTGGTGTGGGTCAACAGTTAGTCCACCGAAGTTTCCAAACATAGAGCTCTTCAAAATGGTGTGAGGTTATAACTGGCCATTTAGTGTTTCTTATGTTTTTAATGATTTTTTCCTTTTTTAAAAGGTAAAAGGTCTTTTTGGAAAGATGGCCAAGTCAACCGGCCATCTTCCACTATAGAGGTTGATTTGAGGGTTTTGCTTTATGTTGTGATTGTGTCTCTAACACTATACTAATCAATAGAGTGTCCCATGTATCGACACTTAAGGCAGAATACATGTGGTTATCATAAGTCAGGACTTGCCAAAAGCTCCAGTACACACTACAATTGATCCAAACCATGTCGTGTAGCCAGAGGCGGAGGGAGAGGGGGGCTGGGCTGGGCTGGGCTACAGTCCCACCCCAAAAGCAAGTTAACTTGTAAAAATTGGAAAGTTCAGTCCAAATTATTGGTAAAATTAAGAAGAATAAAAATTTAGCCCAGTCCAAAGTTTAATCTTAACCCAATTAACTTCATTCCCAACCCAAGCCCAATGTTCAATTATTCAAATTTAGCTTCAAATTTAAATAGTTCAATTATGATCAAATTAGTTTATTATATTAGAAATAATTTTTATTGATTAAAGTAAAGATAAATAACTTATTGTAGCATGTCACATGTTTGACTAAACTTAAAAGTGATTAATTTTTTCTAACGTATTTTTTCATATATTGCTTATTTATACTTGCAAGTTAAAATTTATTTATTTCGACCACGAAACGGTTGTTATTATCAAAATAAGTAATATACTTTATATTTATTTTTATCAATTAAAAATATATTTGTTAGAGATTTGTCATAAATATTTGGAAATATATCTTGATCCATTTTGTCATTAGCGTCAAGAGTTTAATATTTTAAACTAAATCTCGAGTGGCAAAGAGCATCTATGAAAAAAATTCAATTTTCAGCCCACCCTAATTTATCTTCCTGGCTCCGCCCCTGCGTGTAGCTTATGCTCTAGATTCACCTCAACACAAACCCTAGCCTCAATAGGTCTCCACAAATCCGTCGTGGCCTTAGAGATGTGCAAAGGTATCCCAATAGTTTTAGCCATAGCAAACAGAAAACCTTTAGCATGCAAATGCATATGTAATAGAGAAAAAGAAATCCAAATATGAGTAATATATGTCTCAACCTTCGAGTGAAAATCACAAGTCTACTTCAACATATGCATAACACAATCCACAATGTACCAAAGGTTTCAAAAGTAGTCTACTATAGTCATCCTTTTATGTCAAATGAATCTATATATACCTATAATTAATAAGGTCCAACTGAAATTCTCTATGAAAGCTAAACTTTTGAAAATTGTCACGTACATTCAATGTGCAGGGTTTGCAGTACGAAAATTCGCCAACATGTGTAACATGAATATCTCAGCTTGTATAGTCTCCTGTATTGTAGATAAAACAATAGCTGGATCTCCATGACGTGAGGTAGGCTCCTTGGCCATAAAGCTATGAAAAACAGGATCAATCGAGGCTTGAAGAAAGAAACAAAGGTTTTGGTCAAACTCTTCTCATTTTGAGTAAATGATACTATGCTCGATAACTGCACTAGCATAGGTCTTTCGACCATGATTAAGTATAAAATTAGCCTCATGTGGCAGAATTGGTGGCCGGGATGGTCCGGAAGCAATAGTGGGAGCATTCTTAAAAATCAAGGCGAGCCCTTCATAAACAACAAGAGCCCCAATATGGGATCAGAATTGACTCCGAAGAACGAAGGGCATGAGCGTGCAGTTAAGTTCGTACACATCCCGAGGCGTCTTGAATCCTAGTACAATAGCTTTTCAATTTTGCATTTTCCAATGCTATTGGAAGGTTTTCTAGTGTCGATTGGACGATAGCATTGGGATGAAGGGGGTGGATTCCTCATGAAAGCCTCAAGTCAACGACCTTAAGATCCATATTTGACGAGTTGCACACAACCCAGAGCTATCAATTTTTGATGCTAAGGATCCCGACTTTCCCCAATTGGCGTAACTCTAGAAGTATGGTAAGGGTCTTTCGAGGTCGACGGTTCAAATAGTTGTAATCCAATAGGATATGTCCCATCGAACTAGGTGGCAAAGTTGGAATGTGCAAGTTTAAATAGAATGAGCAAGTTTTGACTGGCACCTATTTTCTAAAACTCATATTTCAACCACAAAATTCATTGTTTCTTATCCTTTGTCTACGATGGGTTGCTGGGAGAGGGAGCATAATACTTGGGGATGGGTATGGTGTAGATAATTTTTTTTTTCTTTTTAATTAGCTTAGGATTAATACTTATAAATTAATAGTGGTATATGTTTTATTTTCATGTTTATGTACATGTAAAACTATGATTTCCATTTATATTCTCAATTATTTTAATTTCGGTAATGGTATAATGGATTCTCCTTTTCAATTCAAATAAGGGTGTATCGATCACTTTAAGAAAAAATGACTATTAAACTATTAGAATAATAATTTAAGTGATCTAAAATGCATAAAGTGTAACTAAAGAATAAAACTAGATTTAAACATTTAGGAGCCTAGACGGAGGCATAAAAAATTGTAAAACATGATTAGATGACAAAGCCAAATCTTTGAGCCTAGGAAAAACCTAAACTATCTTTTTAGAACATAGTTTTCCATCAACCAAAGACTGTTTACACGATCTTTTAAAAAAGGCTCTTTTGAAAGTGGCACAATAGTGGAAAAGGAAATTTGACGAGTATGTTTCACTCATCATATTAATGCTACTTAATCTTGATATATAGTTTGATTCTTAGAGTTTTATAACATTTGGATTTGTGTTTTTCGTGTTATTTTATAGGCTATATGAATTGGTGTGAACAGTGCAAAACTTGGAGAAAAGAGTGATGTCAGCATGAATCAAGAAGACGTTGATGTTGATTTGGTGAAATTTGATTATTGGAGGCTAAATTGAAAGAAAAAGTGAATGAGGACCAAAAATAGTGAAATCTTAAGTTTGAGGACTCAATTGCAACATTTCAATAGTTGATCGGACCACAAAACGATAATTGAAGATTCCTAGGAGTCAATAGGATGCAATTAGTAGTAAAAAAAAAACGGTGAAATATGATCAAAATATTATCATAAATCAATTTTCAACTACACAAGTATTTTCTAGATTTTTAGCTAGGGATTGAGATTTATTTTTGATATAGTAAACACTTGAATTGAAAAGCGTATCTGAAGTAAAGTTGTAGTCCCTTTGAGTTATATTTTCAACACAGTATAAATTGCCTCAATCGGATATTGGGAGAAAAATTTTCAATAAAAATACTGAAATTCCTGCGAAGCGGCGCCACACTTGAGGTGTTGGGGCACTGCTTGATTTGAGGAATTTGAATTTTTCTTGGTTTCTTTTTAAAACATCAATGCGACCCCAACTCTTGAAAAGACTTCAAGATGACATAAATATCAATTAAGAGGACACTTTTGGAGGACAATTCAACTGGGCAAGAAGCAAGAAATTAATGAAGAAAGTAAGAACAACATTGCGAAGAAGATTGAAGATCTACAAAAATAGTTTCTTTCTATTCTGTTCTCTTCTCTGTGTTGTTTTATATGATTTTATTAGTTTCTAT